TGCTACCAAAATAACTGTTTTGAATGTATTATTTACACTCATCACTAAATTTTGATTAAGTCAGAAACAGAAAGAAAATGGCATTGTCTTCATAGGAATAGGCTGGATAATATTGCAGATGTGAAATGACAGTTTTAAATGTTTTATCATTTTAAGTGAGACTAAAGGGAACAGAACTTTGAACTTTTTATAGGTTTAAATTTTAAAATAAAGTAGCAAAAAAAGGGAAGAAAAATCTATACATATAGCTCTCACCTGAGGGGAAATAATAAAAAGAGGACTATTTTAATTTGCTATTGTACAGATAGAGGCTGCAAATTATATGAGTTATCTATTCATTAGAGTAGACACAGGATGGCCTTTTTTGAAGCTGTAGACTGCCATTTGGTTCAAATTACTATGAAACTCTTGAAAATAATTAAAATGTTTTTCTCTGAAAAAAATCTATACTTCAAACTGCCTGACAATTAGAATTAAACACTAATGTATTAAAATAGCAATGTAAAGCATTAAAACTCTGAGGCTGTATCTCTCTGTAAAAATATAAAACATATCAATAATCCAGTAAACATAAAGTTTAAGAAATCAAAATGCAATTTACTTCCTCTTGCTGATATTTTCCCAGTTTATATTTCCTATGCAGCATCATATACATATATTAATTCTTTCAAACATAAACCAAACTCATAATATGAAAATATTTGAAAGTTATAAATCCAATTTGCTTACAAGTCCATTTAAATAAACTGTAAAATAATATTCTCAACTAAATACTTAGAAAGCAACAATGTCCTAGATTCTTTTGAGGATGCAGTTTTTCCCTAAGGAAAACTCTTGCCAATTTTTTAAAGTGGTTTATCAATCAGATTCCTTACCTAGCAAGAATAAAATGTAAAGGGGACAAAAACTCTGGAATTTAGCTAGAATTTAGTCTCACATTTTTGCATTCACTATATAAAAATAAGAGAAATCAAAATGCAATGTTTTATTTTGCCTAACTTAGCATGAAAATACATCCAAGAGGAATATTTTTAACCAAAGCTCTAAGTTATAAAGATGTAAAAGTGGTCTAGAATACATGAAATTCAGGGATAAAAATTTTAAATTTCATTTTAAACAATAGCTTCAATTCCCTTCTACACTAAATATTTTATCAGGAGCTTATACAAATGTTCTAGATCTTTTCCTCCTCCTCTGGATTCTTAAATTATTCCAGTATACATCTGAGAACATTCTATGTAAAATAAACTTTGTTAAGTATCTGCACATGATCTAGTTCACCTAGCATCAACCCTGTGATGAAATCCTCATGTTATATATAACTAAACAAGGCTTGGCAATAAGTAACTCATCCTTGTCAGAGTAACTCAAATCTGTCAGAGGCAAAGTCCATATCTGAATAAGGTCTTCAGACTACACCACAACTGTAGCTAATCACTTTATGTTGTAATCATGTGTTGCCTTACAATACACTGTACTATTAACTTTCACTGTTACTGTCTTAATTTTCCCTATGTTCATGTCTCTAAAAGCAACAGCTGTATTGTGCTTTGATATTTTACAGTATCTTTAGCAGATTGATTCAAGTTGCTTGTTTCATAGAAGAATTACAGCCTATAGGTTTAAAAACTCTGTCTCACACTTGTTAAATGGAAATGACACCAAAATAATCAAGTGCTATTAAATGCTTCCCATGTATTAATTCATTTAATCCTCATGCCACCCCTATGAAATCGGTACACTGTTGTCCTATTTTGCAGACAGAAAAGCTACAAGCTAGATAGGTTATCTAACCTGCCCAAGATTAAGGTTACAAGCTAGTTATGGGTGAGGCTTCAAAAGCTAAGGTATTCCGTCTGGAGTGGTTACATGCTTAAAGTTAAAACTGTCCCTCAAGTCTGTGTGTGCATGTGTGCTAAGACACTTCAGTCATGTCCAATTCTATGAAACCCTATAAATAGTAGCCTGCCAGGCCTCTGTCCACAAGATTCTCCAGGCAAGAAGACTGGAATGGGTTGCCTTGCCCTCCTCCACAGAATCTTCCCAAACCAGGGACTGAACCTGTATCTCTTTCATTTCCAGCATTGGCACGTGGGTTCTTTACCACTAGCGCCACCTGGGAAGCACCCCCTAAGATTACATAATGACTAAATGAAATCATGCATTCATACAGTACAAAAATTTAAAAAGTTTTAACTCTTGGCAATGATTTCTTGAATATGAAACCAAAGTGAAGTGAAGTTGCTCAGTCGTGTCTGACTTTTTGCAACCCCATGGACTGTAGCCTGCCAGGCTCCTCCATCCATGGAATTTTCCAGGCAAGAGTACTGGAGTGGGTTGCCATTTCCTTCTCCAGGGGGATTTTCCCGATCCAGAGATCAAACCCGGGTCTACAGCATTGCAGGCAGACGCTTTACCATCTGAGCCACCAGGGAAGTTCTAATGAAACCAAAAGCATAGGCAATAAAAGCAAAAATTGACAAATGGGCCCATATCAAAAGGAAAAAACTCCCGTGTATCAAAAGAAACAGCAGAATAAAAAACAACCTACAGAATGGGAGAAAAAAAAATCTTCAAATCAGACATCTTGTAAGAGTTTCCTAGCATGAGTGGCAAGAGTGGTTAAAAAAAAAAAAAAAAAAAACCTGCCTGCTAATAATGCAGATGTAAGAGATGTGGGCTCAATCTCTGGGTTGGGAAGAGTCCCTGGAGGAGGGCATGGCAACCCACTCCAGTAATCTTACCTGCAGAATCTCATGGACAGAGGAGCCTGGCAGGCTATGGTCCATAGGGTCACAAAGAGTCAGACAAGACTGAAGCGATTTAGTACACAGGAATAGCTCAACAACTAAAAATAACCTAATTTAAAAATGGGCAAAGGACCTGAATATTTCTCAAAAAATGATACAAAAATGGCCAACGAGCAAATAAAAAGATCCTCAACATCACTAATCTTGAGAGAAATGCAAATCAAAACCATAATAAGATATCACCTCACACTTGCCAGGATGCGTAAGTCAAAAACCAACAACGAGTCAAACAGAAAATAATAAGTGTTGATGAGGATGTGGAGAAACAAGAACTCTTGCCCACTGTTAGTAGGAATGTAAAATTGTATAACTCTTACGGAAAATAGTATGGCAATTCCTCAAAAAATGTGAAAATAAAATTACCAATATGATCCAGTAATCCCATTTCTGGGTATATATCAAAAACAATTAAAGCAGGATCACAAAGAGGTATTTGTACACCCATGTTCTTAGTAGCCTTATTTACAATATAGACTGTGATGGTTTCCAAGATATAGAAACTATCAATACAGTCTAGTCATACATAGATGGTGAATGGATATTGAAAATGTGGTATATGTACACAATGAAATACTATGAAGCCTTCAAAAAGGAAATATCATATTTATGCTATAACATGAATAAACTTCAGGGATATTATGCTAAATTAAATAAGCCAGTGAAAAAAGGCAAATACTAAATAATTCCACTTACTATATAATAAGTATCCAAAGTAGCCAGAGTACTACTTAAAAGAGTAGTACTCTTTTTTAAAAGAGAGTACAGTGGTGGTTTTTTTTAAAAAGAGAATACGGTGGTGGTTTTTTTTAAAAGAGAGTACAGTGGTGGTTACCAGGGGCTGGGTGGAAAGGGAAAACAGGGAATTGTTTAATTGGCATAAAGTTTTAGTTTTGTTAAGACAAAAAATTCTGTAGATCTGTTGTACTACAGTGTGAAAATGTTTAACGTTATGGAATTGTACACTTAAAAATGGTTAAGCTGGTAAGCTTCTGTTTTTGCCACATTAAGAAAATAAATCATTCACTTATTTTCTTTCATTTCCCTCAACAGCAGGGAAATAAAAAGGACAAAGAAAAGAAATTCAAGGACTTCAGTAAGTAGAAAAAAACTAAGAAAACAATAAAATGAAACAGGTAACCCCACACTCTTACTGACTTATTGATAATTTTCTTATTAACATGGAAATATCCTGAACCTCAAGTGAAACTGTATCCTATGGACCAGATAATGGAATGTCGTGGGTAAAGGGCTTTTGGAGCTGGAGAGCTCAAATACTATTCTGACTTTGCTACAAATTACTGTGTGACCTTGGGTAAGATATTTTCATTCATTCACTCATCAAAAGGTCTGTTTCCATATGAGTGAGCCTGGTCAAATGAATCCTAGGATCGATTTGAGGAATAAATGAAATAAGTCATATAAAACAGTAGGTATTTCACAAGCACTCACTAAGTGCTGGCTATAATTACTTTGGAGCCTAGAGAGCAAGCGAAGAGCAGGATTTCGACTAAAGGAAATCTAATGCTCTGTTCCTAAAGATGTGCCTCATTTGTCGATAATTATGGTGCTATCAAATCGGATACTATTTAGCAAACCCTCACTGACTCTTACAATTCTTGTGGTCCTCTCTTCTAAAGAACTCTTTCCGAGGGAAAAGCAATGTCATCTCAGGTGTTAGAAAATGTTTGCTTTGGGAACAGCGTTTTCTACCCCAGAGGCGGTGGAACCAGGGAGCTGTACATTAACCACTGAGTTCCCTGTTCCTCTCACTTCACTAGGGACCTAGGCCTTAATCGCGGATGAGGATGAGGAGGGAGGGGGTCACACAACCACACATCCAGATGTAAAGCCCCATCTGGTAAGACAGGACCAGATGAATCTCCTGGGAGAATGACAGCTAGATATTCATGAAAACCGACAGGGGAACCGGCAACTCCAGCCGGATGCCTCAGAGCCTGCATCTCGCAGGTAGGCCGGTGAGGAGGGAGTCTCGCGGAGCCCACGGCCGGCCCGGCCCGGATGTTCAGGGCCCGAGTGGGGGTGTGTCGGCGAGGAGCGTTCCGGGGGTCCGACCGGAAGGGTCGGGCGGGTGGGGGGCTCCGCGGCTCCCTAAGGGGCGAGGGTGGGGGCGGGGCGGGCTGCGCGGCGGCCCAGGGACATGGCGGGGAGGAAAGGGACAGAGGGCCTCACCGCGGGCCGAGGGCAGTGGGTAGAGCTTCTCGGCCTTCTGAAGGAAGCGCTGGGCCTTCTCGCGGTTGCCGGCGTTCAGAGCCTCCCGGGCGATCTCCACACATTTCTCCGCCTCATCCCGGTTCCCCTCCATGGCTTGCGCCTTCTTCCGTTTCCTGCGGGAGCTCAGCAACGAGGGGCGGAAGCCGCCGCCGCCGCTGAGGAGGCTAGGCCGGCCGGGGCTGGGGGCGTGCGAAGGCGAGCGGGGAGGAGCGCAGGCGACCGCGGCGGCGGGGCCCGAGCGCACTGGCGGGCTCGCAGCTCCGCCTCCTCACGGCGGCCTCCCCGCCCCCCGCGGGTCGCTACTGCGCGAGCCGCGTCCCTCTGGTCCCCCGGACTGGGCTCCACAGCCGGGCCGTCAGAACCCGCTCGTTGGTCCTTGCCGGCGCGGACAGGCTCGGGGCCGACCGACCTGGAGGGTGAGGGGGTTGTGCGGGCGATACCAGGCCGGCTGGCCGCCGGAGGGGCTCCTCTGAAGGGGTTCCGTCGCGGCGTGGACCCAGCCGCCTGCCTCAGCAACGCGGTGCCCTCCAACCCCTAGCGCGGCCCGCGAAGGTGGCAGCCCCCCTTCCTAGCGACCGGGCAACGAGTGAGGGTGGGGACATTCGTTCTCAAAATTCCCAGGCATCAAATGCCCCGCCCCTCGGCCCCCCTCAGCCTAGGTCAGCCTAGGGAGAATTCGGTCAGGTGTGGACCCGGCTGCCAGTCCCCGGGACACCGCTTCCGGCACAGCTGTTCAGGAACCCAGTAGAGCGTCCTTTGACCCCAATTCCTGTTTCATTGCCTTCTTTCATTCATACTCCCATTTTTCTGACTCAGTGCCATTAAACTGTTAGTACATCCCAAGAGGTACAAAGCGAACACCAGATAATTTGTAGTTCGCACTTATTCTGGTGAAAACTAAAACGCTAGTAACCATGACCAGAACAGGGCAGGAATCAGCTCCTTGGCAATGTATTACCTCTATAGGTAAACTTGGTTTTTCTCCCTTCTCCCATTTTAATCATCACCCTTGTGAAATACTCGCTATGTTGGTATCCTCAGTGAAGGCAAAGGGCCCACCTTTTGCTTGGTATTAAGAAACTAAGTGCCAGAAACTAAGTGTCAAATGATCCACTTAACCTAATTACAAATAACTATTTTCACACATTGTTCGGTAAAGATATTGTCTGCCATAGCGGCAAATATGGTAACTCAGGACTTTCAAAGAGATCTTGATTCTTCTGTTAAATGTGAATAGTATGTTCCCCAAAGATGTTACCATATACTGAACAGTTTAATACAAGTAACCTTCAAAACAGCGTGCAGCACACTGAAAACATTATCAGTCTAAACTGAGAAGTGCCTTCTGTGTAGGTAGCTACATACAGGACTTTCCTACCTGGCCTCTGCTCCCCACCCCCACCCAAGTGCCCACAGTACTCTGGTGCAGTGCTAGCTAACACAAACAGCAAACAAAGCTAAAGAACTGAGATGGTTAAACTTAGCCTAAAAAACATCAACTTGTGCTGAAGTTTTAAAATCTTTTAATAGTTCATTACACAGTATTTAAAAAAAAATACTTGGGCCTTTTAACTTTGTTGATCTACAGACAGAATTAACAGTGATTTCAAGGGAAGAAATGTGCTTAAGTTATTGCTAGGTAAGATACCTATTCAAAACAAAGCTGTTCCTACTATAATCAAGCAAATTTTATACACAACTAGTTTGGGATATGACCTTTATTGAGCTTATCCACCAGAGTGGAAATAATGTCTGTACAAAACCAAATGTTTGTTACTATAACTTCTGCATCACAATTAAAATCCAAACAGTTTTTTAAAAACAGTCAACTCAATCAAAACCCACTACTTCAGAATCAATAGCTTCTTTGAAGCCACAGTAACACTTAAATATGGTTAAGACTCAAATGCAGAAATTTGGTTGGTTGGAAAGCTAATTAAACTTCCAACTTGCTCAAATAGAATTACAAAAAGGCAAAATTGTGTTTTTCACAGAGATACAGTCCACTGGAATCACCAACACTGGACAGCTGTTAGAGTGTTTAGAGTCCTGAGATAATAAGGAATCCAGGCGTCCTTTAGACAGTCTTCTGTTGTCCTTTCTTCCCAATCAGAGATTTGTGGATGTGTGGAATAACACCTAGAAGAGGGATAAAAGAACACAGTACTTTAAAACCCAGAGTTTAATGTTCAGCCTGGAAGATGTCTTTCAATGTGAGGCTAAGTGCAGAGTAAAAATTCAGAAATATAGAGAGAAATCAAATTGGTCATGATGCAACCATACTACAGATCAGTGAAAATATACTGTGTCCTCTTCTAGACTGAAAATTACTAGAGGGAAATGTAAAAGCCAATTCTTTTCTCTAGAGAAATTTATAAGTTAAATATTTACATACCACCACCAGCAATTGTAGCCTTGATGAGAGAGTCCAATTCTTCATCTCCACGAATAGCAAGTTGCAAGTGACGAGGGGTAATACGCTTTACCTTCAAGTCTTTCGATGCGTTTCCTGCCAATTCAAGTACCTAGAAGGCAGAATGAAATCAATCTCCTTCCAACTTTCATTAATGTCAAGATGCAGACAAGAATCAAATCTTCATGATGAACGCATATCTACCAACTGTCATCTCCCCCACTACCTGAATGGCAAGATAAGCAAAAGCCATAAAGAGGGCACGCAATTTTATTTCCTAAGGCCGCAAACTCGAGCTCAGGAGGATCCCCATCATGATCACCAGCCCCCCCTAGCGTTGTCGGAAGCTTCTCGCCGCGTTCAGAGCCTGGGAGTTTTCTTGCATCACTTTCCTCCTTCCCTCTCGCCGCCTCCCCCCACCCCCTCCCAACCTTTTCCAGATTATAGGCGTACACCCATTTACCTCTGCGGTGAGGTACTCCAGGATGGCTGCGCTGTACACAGCGGCAGTCGCGCCCACACGTCCATGGCTGGTCGTCCTAGATTTCAGGTGTCGATGAATACGGCCCACCGGGAACTTCGTTTTTAGCATACACAAACAAAAATGCACAAAGATAGACGAGTCAAAGATGGTAAAATTATACGCGCGCCAAAGGCAGGGGCATGGAAGCTGGTGCAGCAACGCGCCCCAGCACAGACACACGTGATCGCCCCCCCCATATTTATTGCATCGGTAAACCAAGTCGCGACACTATCACCCACGCAAAAACGAAACGCTCATCCAGAGCGATGATAAACCAGAGGAAAAGAAAAGAAAAACGCCACGATTTCCAGAATGCACGAACCACCACTGACCTGCAAACCGGCTCTCTGCGAGCGGGAAACCGCCTTTGTCTTGGCCTTTCCGGAGTCCTTCCCAGCCTTACCGCCAGCCTGCGGCGCGCACACGCCCGCGAGCGAAGGAGCAACGCAGAATATAGGATTACCAGAGTAGCGCGCCCTTCCCCCACCGTTCCGCGGCTCGGCGCGAGCGCGGCCCCGAGCCCAGCCGGGGTCTCCGGCCCGCCGCGCACCGCAAGGGCGACCCCGCCCGCCCCCCGCCGCGCGCCCGCCGCGGCCGCGCGCCTCGGTCCGCCCGCTCGCCGCCCGCCGGCCCCCAGCGGCGCCGCGCGCGCCACCCAACCGTCACCGCCCGCCGCGAGATCCGAGGCTGCTCCGCTCGCCGCCGACAAAACACCTCCCCCTGCTCTTCCAAATCCTGTCTCCGCGCGTTCCCAACCGTCGCCGCTTCACCCCCATCTCCGTGTGTAACGGGTTTTTCTCCCGCCGGCAAAAACCCGCGGAGTCTTCGAGCGTCTCCACCAAGTTTACCATTTCGAATTCTGCTGAAGCTCTAACAAGCAAGGCAGAGAAAGGACTAGTCAGACACCCAGCGAGAACCCACAGCCTACTCCTCCGTCGCACCGCGATTCAAACTGCGCTGTCTCCCGCCTTCCCCGCTCCCTTTATACTGCAGAATGTTCCCTCATCCGGGAACTCGGATTGCTCATCCCACCAATGGCTGCCACCCGCCCTCGGGACGCGTCCTTGAAGCTTCAGCCAATGAGAAAGCGAAGAAAAGGGCGGAGGGGCGGGCACTTCGCAGCTCGAATCCCTATTGGAGCGTGCAGAAGGAGGTGGGGGAGGGCGGAGGGATTGGAACTGGGGAGAAGAAGGGCACGGCGGCGGGAGGGGAGAAACAGAGCGAGCTCTGCTGCGGGAGCTAGGGGACCCCCCGCCCCGGCTTTGGTCACGTGTCCGAGAGGCGGAGCTGAGAGGCTCAGGGGAGGTGCACGCAGTATCGCGCACCCCACCATCGCCCGTTCGCCTTCGTCTCGTAGCCTGATTCCGGAGACCACGTGAAGTCTCCGCGGGGTCTAGCGCGCCCCACTTCCCGCCCTCCCCTTCCAAATGAGCACTTCGAAAGCAGAGACCCACCAGTCCACAGCCTTCTTCCGAGGCCCAGGGTACCCTTTTCCCTGGTACCCTCAGCATCCCCCAGCTTTTTCAGTCTGACAGGTGGCGCGAACGCGTCCAGTGAGAGGAGCCCCAACTCCTTCCCTAACCACAGCCTTGATAGTGATTCCAGTCTTCTAACCCCGCTGGGCGAGTCTCGAGCCACCGACTGATCATGATCCGCTGCTCCCACGTCATCTTCAGTTCTAAATCCCCCTTCTTTCCTCACGATTTTTAAATGCCCAACCTCCGCCCCCCCCCCACCCCATTGGGATACTTTCACGGAGAAAACGGTGATGAAAGCCCCCTTGCTGGTCTGAAAAGACACTTTGGACTACCCCCAGAGGGCTTGGCGTGAGACGGTATTCTTTAATCAAATCATAAGCCGTATTTTTCTGGAGATTACACATCAATGGGCTGTACCTATAACCTGGTGACTAAAGTTGATTTAATGAAACCTCAAAGTTATTCTGTCAACTTTTCTATGCTAAACAGTTTGCTACATGACAAATGTTCGGTAAATGTCAGTGGGGTAACTTCTAACGTGATTCAAAGACACGTGGTCCATGTAATCAATTCCAAATGGTGGGCTTAAAAAATAGTGCTGTACACACAGTACTATCATAATGCCAGCTACTTAGTCTTCCAACTATCAGATTAGTAACACCTGTGTAAATGTCCAGCTGCTTGAAGACAGTAATGATCTAGATCTTTTATAGTTATAGCATTTAATGTATTACATTTTAAATATAATTCAGTATTTCTGACGTCAAAAAGTTTTAATATATGTATTCTTAAGTACTGTAGTTTGAGTTTCAGTTTGAAAGATTTTTATCAAATTCGAGGACCCTTCCATATCTGATAGATAAGTTCCAGAGAAGAAGTTCCCAACAATTTGACAGAAAGTTTTGTTATTTTCTTCCCCTTACAAATGAGGAATTTTTACACTGTAATCAGTAGGAACAGTTAATCAGTTCTCCCACTGAATTGTTACAATGACATTTTAAAACTGTGAAACCTGATGTAATAGTTAATCTGAGCTCTGCTGAGGCTTCCTGATATGTAACTATAAGCCAACATTAATACCTTTTCCAGTTTGGACAATATGTACTGTTTGCTATGAGGTCCTGCTAAAGGAATTCACTGATGCCTCACTAAACAGTGGTTAAGAGAATGTGCTCTGGAGCAAGTAGACAAGAACTCTGCTCTGCTTTCTTCTCAATGTGTCATCTTAGTTACTTTTTGGAGCTTCAAGTTTCTCTTCTATGAAAAGAACACAGTAACACCTATTCTCAGGTAGCTGTTGAAAGATTAAAGGAGAAGGTATGCAATGTATGCTCCATCATGTGTTTATCACATAACAGATGATAATGATGGTGTCCTCTACATTGGATGCTGGAGAAGGATGAAATAAAGTATCTTTGATTCCTAAATCTTTTCCCTGGTCTAGCATACTGTCTTCCTTTGATGTGAAAGTAAAAAGTTGCAATGCAAGCCTGAAACCTACCTAGGCCCCCTGCATTGGGAGAGCACAGTCTTAGCCACTGTATCGCCAGGGAAGTCCCCACTTTAATTTTAGATCGCCTATCAATTGCTGAAATGGATCTTAACCGTTATAGTAAGTCAACACCCTAAATCTTGGGAAAAGAAAGCACACTTTACCCTGAAGCACTGAGAAACCCATCAGTATTTCTGAGAAGGGGAGAATACAGTGTTCCTCAATTTTAAGGTACTAATCTAGCATGGGTTAGAAGCTAAATCATAGAAGAGAAAATTTTTGTGAGAAGACTGGTAAAGCTGATGTATGTCATTTAGGTACAAACCCTAAAACCATTAACACTGAAACCAAGACAAGGATGTAAAATCTTGAAGGAAACCTAAGTAATATTTAGTAACTGGGTGTGGCATTTAAGAAAGTGTAGGAAGGATATGGATAAATGAGAGAGGGCATACAAGAAGATACTCAGGTTTTTTAGATTGATGGTTTAGGATATGAAGTAGCATCTATAGAAATGAAAATGCCAAAAGGGTAGACATGGATGAGCAGAGGAGAGAAGAAAGTCAGAAACGTTATGAAAAGTTCAAGCTGACATTCGGGGAATTCAAGTGGAATTTTCTAGTAGTATGTTGGCATTGAGGGCAAGAGTTTGTGAAAGAAAAACTTTCAAAGATATATCCTAAGATGCATCCCTAATAAAAAAACTTTAGGTGATGATGTCAGCACTGTTACAAGATAGCATGAGGCATATTTAGCAGTTTATGTGAGCAAAAATTGGTTGGATCCACTTTAAAATTAAGTGAGACTTTTTAAAATTTGTAATTCAATAAAGTGGTGGCTCAGATGGCAAAAAAACTGCCTGCAATGCAGGAGACCAAGGTTTGATCCCTGGGTCAGGAAGATGCCCTGGAGAATCCCGTGGACAAAGGAACCTGTGTCCATGGGGTCACAAAGAGTTGGACATGACTGAGTAACTAACATTTACTTAAAGTTTCTTGTTATTAAACATGTAAAAAAAATCATTGATTAAATGTGTAAAAAAGGCAATCAATTGGAATTGGCAGTGCCAAACGGTAAGGAGTTAGAGGCACTCCACCAATAGGAGCTGGGGGAGAAGACTTCCTTAGGGATGGTCTGGAAGCAAAGAAAGGAAATTATTTGATTGGCCTAAAAAGATTTGATTAACTGAAAGCAATTGGTCATCTCTAGGTTTTGATTGGAGAAGGCAATGGCACCCCACTCCAGTCCTCTTGCCTGGAAAATCCCATGGACGGAGGAGCCTGGTGGGCTGCAGTCCATGGGGTCGATAAAAGTCAGACACGACTGAGCGACTTCACTTTCACTTTTCACTTTCATGCATTGGAGAAGGACATGGCAACCCACTCCAGTGTTCTTGCCTGGAGAATCCCAGGGATGGGGGAGCCTGGTGGGCTGCCGTCTATGGGGTCGCACAGAGTCGGACACGACTGAAGTGACTTAGCAGCAGCAGCAGCAGCAGCAGGTTTTGATTTCACAGCCTTGAGGCATTCACAGGTGTAGATTTTAGGCCATTTTCATAGCATTAGAGCCACCTCAGTCTAATAACCTCCTTGTTTAATTAATTTGACACCACAGATGACAATACCAAAGAAAAGAGTGAATGCAACTGAAAGCTGAAGAGCAGTCAATAAGATCTAGAGAAGTACAGTGTAGTGTCTCACTAGACATAGTAATTCCATACTAAATTAGAAAACTGCAGTTACTGCATCTAGTAAGATGATGTTCACCACATGTATATTGCTCACTCAAGGTAAAGAACAATCTGTATTTGGTCTTTACTACTCTCTTCTGTTTACTCTCTTCTGATGATGTTGCCATTAATTCTGAGACTAAATGGTTTTATCAAAAGTCTTGGTTATCAAGTAAATATTTTATGCCCAATGTTATAAGGTAATGAGAAAAGTCCATTTGGTAAATTTTGTAAATCAGAAATTCCACAAGGCTATCTTAGTACTGTTGGGAACCCAAATGCCACTTTCATCATGAGAAGTTAAGGGAGCACCAGAAAAAAAGGCAAGAGTCTAAAGCCATTCAGTTTATATTGCACAGTCTTCTACAGACTTGGAGAAGGCACTGGCACCCCACTACAGTACTCTTGCCTGGAAAATCCCATGGGTGGAGGAGCCTGGTAGGCTGCAGTCCATGGGGTCGCTAGGAGTCAGACATGACTGAGAGACTTCACTTTCGTTTTTCACTTTTATGCATTGGAGAAGGACATGGCAACCCACTCCAGTGTTCTTGCCTGGAGAATCCCAGGGACAGGGGATCCTGGTGGGCTGCTGTCTATGGGGTCACACGGAGTCAGACACTACTGAAGTGACTTAGTAGCAGCAGCTACAGACTCAGCCCCAGGAGAAAATCATATAAAACGTGTGACCATAACACCTATTGTTAAAGCCTTACACAGATAAGTGTGACTCCCTAGGCCTCTCAATAGGATAGACAGGGCTCAGAGAAGAAGCTGAAGGTTTTGCATACCCTAAGACTTTCTCAGCTTTATTTTGTGTAGGTGCTATGTGTGTGTGTGTGTGTGTGTGTGTGTGTAGGAATGGGAGTGGTTGCATGGAATTATTTGTCAGCATAGAGTAACCTAGTGAAAGCTAACTAATCCAACCAACAATCTATCTGAGAATCATCTTGTTTACTTTTGTAACTGCTTTAGGTTTTCCCCAGTTTGCTATAGAATTACTTTCATTGAGATTTCGCACTGTCTGGGCCCAGGCAGAGAATGAAAGAGCAATGCTTTTGTTCATAGGAACATTTAAGGCTATCAGATCATGATTAATGAGTCAACGCTGCTGCTACTGCTGCTAAGTCACTTCAGTCGTGTCTGACTCTGTGCGACCCCATAGACTAGGTTTAGGATATTTGAGGCATGATATGATGCAAGATCAATTGCTCAAAATACTTTTTGAGCCTTGTAAATTCTGTACATTTACAAGGCATTTTATGAGTTTTCTATGGAATTTGACCTAAGGTCAAATTTCAACCTAAACATGCCTGACATAGACATGATCATGGCTTATCTTCATTTTAAAAGATGAAGAAATAGATTTAGGGGACATCCAGGGATAAAAGAGACCCGATGTACGTTCACTGTGCTCTTTTATAGTTTCGCATTTCTGAGTTAAAAACTTTGGAAGAGGATTTGATTAGTGCCCATGACCATATATACCTGTGATCTTCTCTGTCTTAAATGAAAGAGATGCAATCTCTCACTGAACAATTTTGAAG